AGACAGGTGGGCACCAGGTGGACCGTCATTGGTCAGTTTGTTACAGGGCGTGAGCTGATTGGTAGAACAAACATCCATTAGTCTGTTTGAGAACCTTAAAGTAACAACTCTGACCTGGTGATGTCATCGTGCTGAAGGTGAGCAGAACTAGAGTCTCTGTAAACAAAATCAAAGCACAAATAACAACAACAACAATAATGATAATATTTATATCAACACTAATTATAATGATACAGATATAAATAATAATAATAAGAGGAGAAAACCGGATTGTTGTCAAACAGAACTTGGTTTATGAGGAGCGAAAATCTTCAGAACTTCAGAACCTGGAGAACCCATGAAGACCTTTAACAGGAACCATTAAGAGGTTTTAGAAGGGTCCATACTGGTTCTGGACTAACTGTCTGTGTGCAGGTCAGGTCTGAACTGGTTTCAGCTGGTTCAGTACTGGTTTAAGTCTCGTTCAGGTTTGTGAACTTTGTGTTTTTTTTGTGAAGCAGAAACAAAAAACAGTGAAAAACTTTACATGAATCATAAGGCAACAGATCCATCACAGTGTGATCCTCCAGGAGACCCAGGACCAGGACCGGGTTCTGGTCTCAGTCAATGAAGACCTGTTAAACCTGCTGGGTTTTCCTCTTCGGTTCAGTTTCACAAAAGGTTGTCACGAATATTTCCTGGTTTAACTGAGACCCCTTCCTGTAACGGGTCTGTGTGGTGGTTTTGATCCACCAGAACCCATCGAACCGAGGAGGAAAATCCACCAGGTTTAAAAGAAGACCGCTTAAAGTCCAAGTGGTCCAGCTCTCGGTGGTTCCTATGGACTTGACCACCTCTAGTGTTCTCACTGTCCATCCCCCTGAATGCATCACTGTGAAGAAGACACTAGTGTTGTCACAGCAAAGGCACCAATCACAGAGCACGTACGGCCGATCAATGGTCACAAAGCTAAGAACCAAAGAGGACCGTGTTCACCAACTAGAACATGAAGAACTCATCGGGTTCCTCTTCAGAGAATTTCGACTCCAAACAGGAAGAGAACCTCCAAACAGTAAGTGAACTCTCCTCAGGTCTGTATCTGGACTCTAAAAGGCTCCATGTGGACTCTGAGAGTCCATGTGGACTCTGAGGCTCCATGTGGACTCCACGTGGTCCTAAACAAAGTCTTCGTTAACACTGCGAGCAACACGATCCTGAACCCAACAAGTCCAAACACAAAGGTCCATCTGAAAGCTCCCCTTTGGCGCCCCCTAGTGCTAAAACAAAGGTGTTGAGATCAGTTACAGAACATCACTCGTTAACTATTTGGTGACTTGTTTCTGACTCGTCCAATGAGAACGTCTCTAGATTTACTTCTTTGAACCATGAAAACAAGAACCATGAAAACAAGCATCATGTAAAGATATCCTGTGTACAAAACCCCAGCTTCTTCATAAATATTAAAACTAATATACATCTGGTTAGCTGGTTAACTGTGGATGGTGATCGTTTAACAGAAGTAGATTCAGACTTTTGAAAGAAACCTCATGACGTCCTGATTGTCTTTTTTTTGTTTAATCAAAGCTAACGAAGCAACCAATCAGCTCGCAGTGTGAATGCCCGCTGAGGTTATTATGCATATACTTTAAAAAGTGCAGATTTGTCTTTTTTGGTGCTCAAGTGCATTCATTTGTTCTCACATTTATGGCTTTTTCTCTTTGTACCAAAACTGGTAGAAATGTGGCGGACGGGTCCGGATTGGTTCCTATAGTCTCTTGGTGTGCTTGGAGTTGTAGTGGCTTCTCATGTCTTTACGGAGGCGGAACTTCTCTCCGCAGACGCCGCAGATGTACAGGTGGACATCCATGTGTTTCTCCAGCTGCTCTCCGCCGGGGAAGATCTGGAAACACACCTGGCAGATGGTCTCCCCGGCCGACAGGTGTGAGATCATGTGGCGGACGTGGTCGTGTTTGAGGAAGGTTCCCTGGTCGCAGACCGGACAGACGTAGCGCGCCATTCCTTTGTGCATGTCGGTGTGCAGGCGGAGCTGCCGCTCCCGCAGGAATTGCTTCCCGCAGGTCTGACAGGTGAACTGCTTCTCCTTGGTGTGGACGGTGTAGTGCTCCCGCAGGTGGCAGCGCTGGTAGAAACCTTTGCCGCAGATGCCGCAGAAGTGCTTGCGTCGGTGGTCCAGTTCACCGCCGCCCTCCTCCAGCAGCGCCGGGCGGAACAGCTCCTGGTCGTGGCAGGACAAGGCGTGCTCCAGCGCCGAGCTCTCGTTCTGGAACAGCGTGCCGCAGTGAGGGCAGGCCAGGTCGGAGGCCTCCATCAGACCCTCCTCCTCCATCATCCCCTGAGGCTCCTCCAGCAGGGACGCCTCGTCCTCCCCGTGGGAGTCCGAGTCGCCGCCTTGGGATTCGCCGCAGCGCTCCGCATGCTCCTGGAGCTGGCGGCCTTTGATCAGCACCTGACCGCACCTCCCGCAGGCACAGATGTGGCCCATGTGGTTGGACAGGTAGTGGGCCGACTTGTCCTCCTCCGTCAGCAGAGCGCCACACAGTTCACAGGGTGCGCAGTCGGCGTCCTGCTTCTCGTCTTTGACCTTACGGAGCTTCGCAGGGATCCCTGAATCTTCACTGCTGGACATGTGGCCTTCGAACGGCTCGCTGCTGTGATCCAGACCCGAGATGCCGGGCTCTGGGTCGCGGTCTGATCCGGTTTTCTCCTTCTGCAGGTCTTTACGCGTGGCGTCGCCGAAACGCGCCCTACAGTCTCTGTTGCCGTGGTCGCCGACCCGGACCACCTCTATCTCAGGGAATATGCCTTCTTCTGGTTCCGTCTTGATGGAGATACTCCGGGTCAATCCGGGCTCGCCAGCTGTCCCGAGGTCGGAGTCAGACTTGGCTTCGGGCCAGTCGTCCTCACCTTTACAGATGACCCTATGCTCCTCTATGCTCTCGGAAGCGGAGCTCTCGGCTTTACTGGAGTCGTTGTCACCTTCGGCGTTGCCTCTTGGCTGATGAAAGGCCTTCCGGTTGGTGCAGGTCAGGATGTGTTCGATCAGGAGTTTCTCGCAGCTAAAGACGAAGCCGCAGTCGTCGCAGGTGTAGGTGCGGCCAAATCGAGGACGGTCTTTGAGGGCCGAACTCCTGCCGCCGGGCCTCTTCCTCAAGTCACACGGCTGATCGACAAGTCCGTCCACCAACGGTGGCGCCGCTATCAGAGGAGCCACCACCACCTCCTCCGCCGCCACCACCACCGGTCTGCTGATGGTCGCCGGAACCACCGGGCGCCCGGCGGTGCTGCTGCTGCTGGCAGCTTTTGGTAGATGCTCCACCTCCGGTGCGGCAGGCCTCTGCTGCTCGTACATCCGGACTCCGAACATCATCTTCCCGCCGGCGGGGCAGGTGGAGGAGCTGGACGCAGAGGAGGCCGAGGAGGACGGGGTGAAGTTGGAGGTCCTAATGTCCCTGAGATCCTCCAACGAGTCTGGGATGTAGTACATCTGCAGGTACGCCATGGAGGCCTTGAGCTCCTCGAACTCGTAGCTGCCCACCGCGATGCGACCCAGGTACATGAGCTGCAGGATGAGGTCGAAGCACTCGGCGCTGATCTGCATGTTGCTGAGGTCCAGACGCCCGGCGCCCTGCTGCTGGTCCCGGATGAACATCATCCTGAAGTAGGAGCTGCAGGCCGCCAGCACGGCCTTGTGCGCCCGGAAGTAGATGTCACCGATGGCGATGAGGCAGTCGCACAGGAAGCCCCACTCACGCTGGTTATTGAGCTGCTGGAGGACGTGATCGCTGTGGCTCGGCCTCGCCATCGAACCTTTGGACAACAAGGAGGTAAGTAGAGTACTTTATACTGTACTACAGAGGTACATATCATACTTTACTACAGAGGTAAATACAGTAGTTTATACTGTACTACAGAGGTATATATATATATATATATATATATATATATATATATATATATATATAGTAATTTATATTGTAGTACAAACCTAAGTATAGTACTTTATACTGTACGACAGAGGTAAATACAGTAGTTTATTCTGTACTACATAGGTAAGTATAGTACCTTATACTGTACTACAGAGGTATATATATCGTACTTTATACTGTACTACAGAGGTATATATATAGTACTTTATACTGTAGTACAGAGGTAAATATAGTACTTTATACTGTACTACAACTCAGAGGTACATATAGTACTTTATATTGTAGTACAGAGGTAAGTATAGTACTTTATACTGTAATAAAACTCAGAGGTACATATAGTACTTTATACTGTACTACATCTCAGAGTTACATCTAGTACTTTATACTGTACTACATCAGGACCAGGGGTACCAGGTTCTCTGGTTAGAGTTCTAGGTCTAGGTGTAGACCTGTTCTAGCTGTAGAACCCTGGTGCTATGGTTCTAGCTGTAGACCAGGGTTCTAGCTGTAGAACCAGACTCTATAATAACAGACAGAAGGGAGAGGCTGGCCTCACGAGCTAAAATGGAGATTACAGCGGTTAGCCAAGTCAAGCTAACAGCGGCTAGCATCCACCACACCGGAAGTTACTGCGAGTTAAGCTACAAAATAAAAGAGAATCCAGCTCGACGAGTAATAAAACAGACAAAAGTGATTAACGGACTGCGTACTAGGGTACGCGCTAATTTACATCAACATGTGTTCAAATGAGTGAATAAACACGGTATGAACGGTCATTTTAATCTTTTCCACACGGATTAAACTGTTAACACATTAGTAAACAGTTAAACTGTTTGGTTAAATCTTTGCGCTATTGTTTAACTTAACATTATTATATTTCATTGTTTAGATTGTGCATTTGTATACTCAATATTTATTTTTTTTTACTCTGTTACTTTGATTGCTTACTCGTGTCATAATGCTGCTGTAATAAGGTATCTATCTAATAGCTTTACTACGCCCTTTATTTTGAAAACCGAGACCAGATGTGATAGATGTACATCCTGTTCGCGTGATGGTGCTCACTTATATCTCTTCTCCCGCAAACAGTCCCGCCGCCCCCGCACAGAGCACCGCGAGCAGCGCGAGCACCGAGAGGCTCTTCTTACTTCACCTGGGAACCCGTTAAACTCACCGTGGGTAACCCCGGAGGAGACTCGGTGTGTTCAGGCAGACAGTTGAGACGAGGGACTCGGAGGACTCTTCTGCTTCTGCTTCTTCTCCTCCTCCTTCTTCTTCTTCTTCTTCTTCTCCTCCCGCAGGATGAAAGAACTTCCGCACAGACTGTCGCTCCGTCAACCAAACGCAACAGTGAGCGCGTATAAAGAAGACAAAATAAGAGACTTCCGGTCAAAAAGAACGGACTTCAAAATAAACGTAATGAATAAAGTTATTGATCAGGTTCTAGTTATTTTAATGATAAACCAGCAGCATAGTTCCACGTGATCAGATTATATATATATATATATATATATATATATATAGTATATTTCACTGCAGACTTTCATCTGATTCACAAGCTGTGAAATATAGAAATAAGATATAATCTGTAAAATATATACATATATATATA